ACACGATTGATTACAAATTCTTCTCGGGCTACCAGCCATGTAAGGTGGTTTAATGGAGAAACACAAACGTTTCGAGAAACATCTTTGTCCTCGTCCTCAGGGTACTCAGAGAAAAGTTGGTGTTTTCTTCATTAAACCACCTGAGACCTAGAATAAGTCGCCGTGAAAGCTCCAGATCACACAAGATTAAACATTAAGTCCTATTGCTTTCAAGGGGCTATTTTCGTATTTGATACAACCCGAATTTCTTCATAAATATATGTAATTCCTAATTATTACTGTCCTTCTCAAACAATTAAATATTCCCATATTTAAAAATAATTATTATCTATCTTTATAAGACGTTACGAGTTCTCCGTGAATTCTAATATGTAGTTCCATCGGAATTTCTAGTTTTATTAACATCCCTCCTAATAACATTTTATTTGCATTATATATTTCGTCAAATGCAGTAACATAGATTGACTAAATGCTGTTAAGGCAGTCTCCATACCGATTAAATATAATTTTTGTTTAAATCGTTAAAGCAGAATACGTCTTTAAACAATGAACTTGACATCATTACAATCCATTCAATACGTCAGATTCTATAATGTTCTTGGTCTGTAGTACATGGAATCGAAAACAGATCTTTTGGTTCGAAACCACACTTACGATATTTCAAAGAAGAAGTAAAGTTAGTGTTACGTTTCTTTCAAATTACACGAACTCTTATTTTATCATAAAATTAACATCCAGGTGAATAATAATTAGGAATAAATAAACATATAGGATTAACATACGCTACACGTGAACTACATTAAGAACGCATTTCGACATAAATTTTATCAGAATTATTTATGAGCCTTTTGTAGGCGTGCAGGGGCCGGAGGGGGAACCTCAAGGTAGGGGATGAATAATTATGGCAATAACAAAATGTAGCAACCGACTATTATATTGGACGCGCGTAAAAATGCTATAGACACGCTATACCGATACTAGGCGATGTCAGTTTGCCTTGTAAATTTTATGCAGCGTGTGCAAATATTTTAAATAATATAAATTAACAATTATTTATTTTAATCCGTCTTATCACAATATTTAAAATTTCTTATAATTAAGATAATAAAATATCATTGATGTTCCATATCGATTGATCGATTTACATTTTGGAACATCTTTTACACAACATGTTTCAGTTTTTATAAAACCATCATCAGGTGTAAATTATTTACGAACTTAAAATGTAAATCGATCAATCGATATGGAACATCAATGATATTTTATTATCTTAATTATAAGAAATTTTAAATATTGTGATAAGACGGATTAAAATAAATAATTGTTAGTCTGTTAGTTTCAAATAAATTTTTGCACTAGAGGAATTTGACACTCGCTAATATAAAAAGTAACCCCACAAATAAAACCAAAGTTTCAACACTGTTAACACAAAAGACCATAATTAAACAAGATTATGAGTCAATTCCATCCACTTCCAATGTTTACAATTTATTCCCGTAGGATGCTGCTTAATGTTATCCTTTATGGTTTTTTTTTAAATTGAGCCCCTCAAAAACTACGCGTATTAAAATTAAACATTAATTATTTTCATTCTATCAGATGTTTTTCATTTACAGACAGAGATAATTTTTCATAAAAGAAACACTTTGGATAAAATTGTTAGAGTAATCGAAGTTTTTTCAAAAGCTAAATAAGACGGTAATTTTTCCTTCGTGAAGTGGCGTGTTCTGACAAACTAATTTCGTCGTAATTTTTGAGAATTTGATGTTTTATGTAAACACGTAGGCTCAGTGAACTACAACATCGAAATAATAAATGCGATATTCCTATAACTCAAGACAGTCACACCTACCACATCGACGACAGTAGAAATGTTTCATAAGCTCTGCCCTGCGCAGCGTAGCCATGATATCACTCCGACAAAGTGACTGAGACGAATTCAGAGTGGACGGAGCCTCCTCGTCTGTCTATGAACGTCTGTAATACGCCCCGGTGCCGTACTTGGACGACTGAACGGTAAGAGACGCGATGCTAGACTGACTCGCGGATTCGAGACGCAAAGCGTTTCGTAATGAACTGACCTACGGCGCAGGCGTCAACAGCAACCAATCGTCTTCTTGACAACTGATCAAGTTTATGTAAGAGTACATTTTACAGAAATTTATAATTGTTCAAATACTTAAAACATCTGGAAACATCAGTAACAAAAGATGAACGATATTAGTAGAAAAATACATTGCGAATCGATTCATTCTGAGGGGAGACCATAAATAAAAGTGTTTTAATACGAACACTGTAGATGTATCTAGAACCAAGTACGACGAAAATAATGAGGAAGTACTTCAAAGAGAACAGTGGGACATCAAATCGCGGTCCAATCCGGAAACTGTTTGCTTTAGCCCTGTAGCTCATACATAATCAGTTCCAGATCTAATTCCACTAAACAGCCTTTTCAATTGATTCGATGTCGCTAAATAACAGTTTCATTATCACTTTTGTTTTCGGAGAAAACTGCTTAATAATGAGCTTAAAAAGCTGCATTCCTCCCCCAAAATTGTCAGGGTAAAGAATGAGATGGGCGGGGCATGTAGCACGCATGGATGGGACAAGAGGTGTGCATCAGGAAGCCTGAGGGGAAGAGACCGCTGGAGAAACCTAGACGTAGATGGGAGGTTAATCTCAGGCGGGATCTATGGGAGATGGGAGTTGAAGGAGACTGGATTTTGTTGGCCCAGGACAGGGTCCGGTGGAGGGCTTTGGTTAATTCGGTGATGAACCTTCGGGTTCCGTAAGCCATCTGGTTGGTTGGGTCCACTATTTGGGAAGCCTGAGGGGAAGAGACCTCTGGAGAGACCTAGACGTAGATGGGAGGATAATCTCAGGTGGGATCTATGGGAGATGGGAGTTGAAGGAGACTGGATTTTGTTGGCCCAGGACAGGGTCTGATGGAGAGCTTTGGTTAATTCGGTGATGAACCTTCGGGTCCCTTAAGCCGTCTAGTTAGTCTGAAATTAAAATCCGCAACGAAAATTTTGGAGTGTAATTCTCTAAAAGTGTAACTCTGACGATGAGAGGGATGAAAGCTGTGCACCATATAATAATCGGACAGGACGTGGGCATAATGGGGGGACCTTCCCCCCCCCCCTCCGTTTCCAAATGCGGCAGAAAATTAGGTGCAAGGTTAATTTGAACATTATAAATTTCCATGTAATTATAGCTTATAATAACAACAGAGAAGACGGGAAGAGCTGAAAACAGTCTTCGTGTAGTTATTATTCTAAACAAAGCAAAGGAGAAAGTCTGTAGAATTGAACAGTCGCCTGGCATGTACCTATTTTGTACGACATTCCACCCCACGTTTTGCTGTAAACAACTAAAATCCGGTTCTTGCGAATGTTTCTTCAAAATAAATGAGTAGGTAGCATCTAAACGTACAAGAAGACTCAAGAAACTGATTCCAAAACTCATTAAAACCGAGTCGACGATGTTTTATAAGAAAATACTCATTATACAAACGCACGCGAAATAAAGTTAGTTGCCCGCGGGCGTGTTCCTTTAGCTTATAATCTTCCTTGTCGCAGATTTCTTTCAGTTTTCTTTTAACGTTGGCAGGCCTCGCATCGCTTTAAAGCAACAACTAAGCACGATAATTTTATTATTTACCTTATAAAGCCAAATTAGGCTTCCAGCCTCATTGAATATCTGACGTTAAAGCAGTCTTTTTACGATAAAAATTAATTGACAATGAAACGATGAGGACTGTCGATTGAGTGTTGTAGATCTAAGAACTTCACTGTTGGTGAAGGACTTTGGTAGTAATTAGTTGTAGATCTAAGAACTTCACTGTTGGCGCAGGACTTTGGTAGTAATTCAATTTTAATTTAAACCCATGTTATTATAATATTTTTCAATCAAAATGCAGATTTTGGGAAATTGGGAGTCGTGTGACTCAGAACTAGGTCGGAAATTTCGTAAAATAGAGACGGTGATGTATAAATCCTGGCAACAGCCAAAGACGGTTTGGATAACAATACGGAATGTTAAAAATCCTATTTTCTTCAGTGAAACCAAACGACCTGAACGCTATCAGGAAATGATTACGAGTTTAATTTCCTTTTTGGAAGCTATCGTAAAGAGACCTCGTTTCAACAACACGGGACTATAGCACGTGACTTTTGATCAGTCTATATATGTTTAATTACATAGAGCTACATTCAGTTTCCGTACAAATCAAGTAAGAAATCATCAACCGATTGTCTAGGTCGTCTGTGTCGTAGTTTTGATGCTAAAAGTATCGGATATTACGTGTTTCTGGATAAACATTCTCACAGATTCATGATAGGCTTATTGAGATAAATCACCACCTTAATATTTCGAAAAGAAAGCTATTTTGTGAGGTTTGTTTCATTCGGAGAAGATATCATGTTTTTCTATGTTTGTAAGGTAGTATATTTGCGTCATATTGTGAATTAAGTTAATATTTTAATATTTTCCGTCAAATCACAATTTTAATAAGATAATAAAATATAAAATATTTAAAATATCATTTCACGTTCCGCATCGAATGATCGATTTACTCCATATTTATTAATGTTTTATTTAAATCATTGCTTTACAGACTAATATTGAACATCAGATGAACCACGCCATATATAAAAAACAATACCTTCGTTCTAATATATAAGAGTAATCTGATAAGAACATTTTCAACAAACTACATAACATTGTAAATGATCGTAATTCGAGTTTTAAAATTTACCAATCTAATTTATACCTGAGGACGGTTAAATATAACCGAAACATGTCGTAAGAGAAACGTTCCAATTTGTAAATCGATCATTCGATGCGGAACGTGAAATGATATTTTAAATATTTTATATTTTATTATCTTATTAAAATTGTGATTTGACGGAAAATATTAATCTCTATGTTTGGTTACGATACTTTCTTCGAGCTGTGAAATAAAATACAAAAATTAAACACAAACATAATTTTGTCCAGAGATTGTTCTAGTTTATCTTATAACCAGTCAGAAAAACAACACTTTCAGTTTGGGGTCGAACGCGGGACCTCCGAACGGTATGACAACATCCCCTTCACCCGGATGTTAAAACATAACAAGATGTCTGCACATAAATAGCAAGACAGCTGACAGCTAGCGACAAACGAGCATCATGAGACGCCTCGTCCTTCTGTGTTTTGTACTGGTGATAGTGGACAACCTGCAAGCAGGTAAATTTGTTTTTGTGGCAAGTCTGTTAACTACAGCTCACGTAGAATAGCTGTATATTTTTCTTTATTGGCCCACGTGGCTTTTAACGATGTTTTATCAACTTCAGTGGCTGTATAGTGTAGAATGAGATAAAAAGATAATTTTATACGATTGTAAAAATAGGTGTCAAGTGGTCGTGGCCTATTAAAACATTCAGGATATCGGGTGAGTCATTCGCGGTTCGAAATCCACACCTCCAGTAAAAGAAGCAGGAATACTGAATCATGGCGTGTCTCTGTCCACGGTAAAAGAGTACATTGAGACAGGATGAAATCCGCGTCGTAAGATACTAAAAATTGATATGTAAAGATGGCGGAGTGTATCATGTCTCTGCGCTGTACACAATAAATCTCGGTTGATAACGATGAATCTAGTTGCCTCGAATTATTTTCTTTGAGGTAACTGAGAGAAACGTAAAATTGACATTTGTCAAACATTTAAAGCTGTCAATAACGTTCCAGCAACGGAACTTACACGATACCTTGAATATATGTAAGGAAACTTTTCTGAAATTAAATCCAGTAACACGGCAAATGATGTTAGAAGTGAAACGATTGTCAAACAAAACAGTTTCCATTATTCTGATATCTGATTTAGTTCAATTCAACAAACGAAAATCAAAAACCATTTTAATAATATCCTTCAATCATCGCATGACTTTTTACCGCCGTTCTATTATATTAACTTGCTTCGTGATTCGTTCAATTTCGTCTGGTGTACAGCCTTCTAAACATGAACCAAGACTGTGTGCTGACCTTGATTCATTTGTTTACATTACGTCATTAACTAGCGAGTATCACTGCCCTACCGCCAGAGTTCAGTAGAAACTACTTCGTGTGACGTAATCAGTCCACAGGAAAGTGACATACGAATTCTTCCTATTCCCGACCGCAGAACATTAATCTTAACACGCGTTCGTTGCTTTCCGCTGCTTTCGTATTATCAACACTCGCTTATTTGTTTTGTTTCTGTTCTTGTTATTCTATAATATTTCTACTGTTTCAAGTATTACTCATAAAGTTTATGTCAAACCAAGGTCTGATAATATTGCAGCACGTGACTTCCGAGGCCGCATATGCCACTCTCGCATTCAGTATGTGTGCAGAAAGAGAGAGACAGACAATATGTAGAAACGATAACAGGATTCGATAGATATCGATTCTACTTGTTACGATGGGATTAGACTTTGTCTCCATGGACCTGCGGCTGCTAACGAGGAGTAATTTAATATGGAACAGTGGTGAAATGATGACAGAAAAACGTAATTAATCCGAGATAAACCTATCCCAGTGCCTTTTTTGGAACCATAAATCACATAGAGTTTCTGTCGGTAAAAGTTGAATGGAAGAGATCGCTTGGAAGATATGTGTACATGGGAAGATAATATTAAAATAGATCATAAATCAATCTGGTGGGAATATGTAGACTGTATTCATGTCTTTTAAAATGGGGGTCAATGGGAAGTTATAAACCTCCTTGTTCCATAAAAGGCTGAGTATATCCAGATCAGCTGAGCAACTATTAGTTTCTCCAGAAAGACTCAGTGTCATTCGGACCTCGAGTTCTTTGATGGTAGAAAATTAAAGAGAGCAAACAAATATTAAACAGGATGAACATTCAGTGGCCTTGAATATTTATGTTATGCAATCCCGCAATACGCTTACTTTGTCCATATTCAACAGTTGCTTCAAGCGACTGGCAACTCTCGGTTTATGAACGAGTTCCATTCTAAGACGTACGTTATGTCTATCTTGCATTCATGAGCTTTTACAATACTGGACCAGTTTAAACCATAATGACGAGCTATGTCCACCTGCTTCTAACCTCTTTCTGTCCTCTTTATGATGTCTACCTTAGTTTCTAAATTAAAACTGCGTCTTTTATTTATGGGCATACCTTCACTATGAATTACAGATGGATCTCCATATTTAGGAGAAATATGTTCTCGAGATGACTGCAAATAATGTCATGGATTCTGTGCATGTATCTGTTTATAACTGGCATGTTAAGAAAGCTATGGGAGAAAATAAAAACATTTATGATCACAGTCGGGTATTTTCTTCATGTCTGTTACAGACAAAATATAAAATAAGAAATTAAGCCTTCGAGTAAGCACAGATTTACTGGCAGATTAAAAGAATGTGGATGCACGAAAGATCAGCTAACAGTTGAAGTGCAAGGGTCACTTTGTCGCTCACCCCATTTACATCCATGCAACCTTTTAACTACAGGTAAACCTCGATTTGCACCACTTCAATTTGCGCTGATTCAGAATAACGCCGCTTTTGAAACCAGCAAGTCAAAAGGTGAAAAAAATATATTTTACTATTATTTATAATGTTTTACAATGTATCTCGTACTGATTCTTATACTAAATCGTAATTCTTACATCGCTGATTTTGAATAAAAATTATAAATACAGTCACCTCTGCAGTCATTGCTAAGTAGTTGCGAGATAATCATATAAAATAAAACAGTCGATGCAACAGGCTACGAAGGTAAGTGCAATGCAAGTGAGTCATAGCAGAAGAAAACTTTTAGAAAAAATGGAGAAATTACTGTCCCTATGGGCGGATGACATGATTCAGAAAAACATTCGCTTCACTCAAATTGCTATCACGGGTAAGGCGAAGTCAATTTTTGAGGAACGCATGTCAATGACTTCCCACTGATTTACATTATAAAAAGTGTTTCAATTTGCGCCGGTTCGTCCAGGCGTAAATCGAGGTTTACCTGTGCTAAGTGACAAGGGGACCTCGAGAATAACGAAAATAAACGGAGATGGGGCGGACGAATTAAAAGGGTACGAACGGAACACGAGAGAAATAAACTTTAAAAAGTTTTAAAAAAATTAAGAAAAATTCCCAACGAATGACGATTAAAAAAGGGTCATATTTCCTTCTTTATTTCGAGATACTTTTTACGGTAGTTGCAGGAAGTAGAAGACATGTCCACATTGTTTACACCACGATACTATGTTTTCCAGGGTCCCTGACGAGCGACAGCGAGAAGTCGAGACAAAAGCGCTTCGTGCTGAAAAGGCTGTTGAAACTGAAGAACAACTTAATCGGCAGGTGTGGTTCGTCACAGATGTGACCAATTCCTTCAGTAAATAAGTTTGATACACAGGGCGGGCGCAGAAATGTTGCGGGGGGCAAATCAAGGGAACTATGAGACAACATTCCAAGGTCACGTTATTGAACTTGGCTTTATCGGGCGGGTTTTCCATGCCAAGACAAGTTTTCACACGTGGGGAGGAACAAGAATTAGAATGTGTCGTGCAAGACAGAGGTTCCTCACGAAACGTTACAAAATGATTTTTACCTTATGACGTTGATGTTTTCGCATCATCGAAGCTCACACTGTCCTCCGATATTGTGCGGAATTGTAGACAGTTTCAAACACTTCGTAGGTCTCTGCAACCCTGAAAAATGATAAAGCAGTTTCGTTGCTAACCACGCAGGGCTACAAGGCTACGTACATACAAACGCACGCATGTGTGAAAAAATTCAATTACAGAATGTGAAAAAAAATTATTTTGTACCTTAATGTTGGTAGAATAATTTTTGTTACAGTTTACTGCAACCTGCAGGCACGATATCAGCGAGCGGCATAAAATCGACTGGTTTTTCAGCGTTTGCTTCAGGAGGAAGTTCAAGCAGTAATTATGGCAGCTCTGGAAACATAGGAAGTTCAACTGGAACTATCGGTGGCTCCGGGAGTCTATATGGTTCCATCGGAAGTTTTGGTGGCTCCGGGAGCCTATCTGGCTCAGGTGGAAGTTTCGGTGGCTCCGGGAGTCTATCTGGCTCAGGCGGAAGTTACGGTAGCTCCGGGAGTCTATCTGGTTCCATCGGAAGTTTTGGTGGATCCGGGAGCCTATCTGGCTCAGGTGGAAGTTACGGTGGCTCCGGGAGTCTATCTGGTTCCATCGGAAATTCTGGTGGCTCCGGGAGTCCATCTGGTTCCATCGGAAGTTTCGGTGGCTCTGGGAGTCTGTCTGGTTCCATCAGAAGTTTTGGTGGTTCTGGAAATAAATACTGTTGTAAGGAAACGTATGGAGATATCGGTCGTGGCTTCTCCAGTTCCTCGGTGCAAGCTACATCTGGCGGTGTGTACAGCAGCGCCAGCAGCCAGGCTTATAGCCACTAAGAAAGAACCGACGTTTCGAATTAACTGCATGGTTATAATTCTTCGCCCTTAAGATACTTTCCATACAATTCTGGAAGTGAAGCAGTCACATGATCTGTTATACTCAGAATGATATTGAATTGTAGTGGTTGGTATCACTTAGTACATCCAATCACGGCACAAAATCTGAAAAGGCTGTACCCACTTCTCCCCTGACAAGCTGTGAGCTCTGAAATAACACCAGGACCTTTCTGTTACTAACAGATTTGTAGTAGCAAAGCTCACTCGTAACCTGCGTAATCCGATAATTTGATAACTCTAATAACCGACACTTGATGCCAGATGGACAGAGAATGTTGCCTTGCCTGCGTTAAAATCAATCAACAGATCCCACGTTATATAAGTACATACACTAACCGTCACTCTTACTTGCACCAAAGTTCGGGCTGCCTTCCTAAACGTCTTTATGACCAACGTTTCACCTCCTTCGACAAACCTTAGGTTGTTTCTAGGAATTACATTTGCAAGTAATTTTCAACATTAGTGACGCGTGAAGACCTCATTTTTCATCCCATAATATTTTCACCTCCTAAACGCGACCTTCAGAAAAGTTATTTTGAAAATTTACCACAGTGTTTCAAGTACTGAATTTATTTTATAACACTACTTGCAGCATAAATAATAATTATATAATGAAAGTCATTGTAAAAACAGAGAAATGTTATAAAAATTAACGACGTGTTTTCAAATTCTGAAATGAGTGGATAAAAGGGCTAAATTCATTCAAATACTTCTACTTCTGGTAATCAAAGATGGACACAATTGGATGTTTTGTATGATGGCTAGTTGAATGAATGAGCTGGCTTCGTAATATGGAGTCCTTGATTAGTTGACAGCATCTCAGCTAAGCAAAAAATAACAGCTTTAAACCGAATCTTCATTACCGTATTAACAATCAAATCAGAATCCTTCTAAGGATCAGAGGTTTGTAACTTGGCTCCTTCATCCCCTTTCTGGTGGTGTAGCACCAAAACAACATGTGTCCACTTCTTCACCACGCAGCTGATCACAAAATTAAAATATGTAAAAGGGAAAAAAAAAACACTGTTTGAGGCAAAATATTCAGCATAAATCAATCCTTTCATTACCAGCTTAGAGAATAAAGAATATATAAGGATTCACCAGATGTGACTGACCATCCTCATCTTAAAAACTGACAAATTTGTGTCAACATATAGTATGATAATATCTCTTGCCATTTTGTTCACAGTCAAACAGAGGACATGTTACTCGCACAATGTGATAATTCTAGGAGTATCAGTAACCATAATTTTGAATGGTAAATAATTTTAAATTACAAACATCTACTAAATACATACTGAAATATTTTTGAAATAAGCATATTAAGACATTACTTACATTTTTATTTATTTCTTTACGCGTGAAAACATTTAGCGTGAAAGTCGTTAACGGTTTCATTCGCGTTCGTGTATTACACTGAGGCGATGCTACCAAAAGTAAATCAGCCTCCAACAACCCTCAATATAAAAATTCACTGAAATGTCTTCAGCACTTTGAAAGATGAAACCGTATCACAGGACGCTGAAATACGATGTCCAGAAGCCACTGTGAGTGACTGCAACAGAACTAAAACTCTGCCCTGGTGGACCGCAATCACCGCAGCAAGCTGAATTAAACCCCAGTACACGAGATGCGTTCTTCACATTACACAGGTTCGTTTGAAATCATACATACAAATTTTAGTCTCAAGTTGTACATCCAAAAGGAATTATGCAAGTTAAAAAATCATGAGTCCACGAATCCTTTGAGTTATCAACACACTCAGACAGTACAGTGACTGTGACCGGTGCCATCTGGTACACTTCTGATGCTCCGTTTGCATATGAAACTTCAATAATGCTGATATGCACCAATATTAGGTAGGGAATTTCATGAACAGCCATGCATTGTGTGTAAAGCTACTACTTACGTCCACCAGATGCTTCGTACGTCAAATTGCAACATGTAACAACGGTGATAACTTAAAAACTTAAGGATTTTCAGACCCTTGTTTATATAAACGTATCAAATTGTTTTTGGATGTACAACTCACCACTAAAATCTGATCAAATCACTCTGTATAGGCATTTCGTTTGCATATTTAATTGTAGTAATCACGTGTTCTCACGTAGGATGAGTTTATCACAGAAAAATATTTGCTAAATTGGAATAGAGTTAGTAAGTTTCATAGGAAACTGCTTGCACATGGGGTGGAGGGCATGACAAGCAGAATGTGGTATTACTCGTCAGAAAATATCACAGTCCAACTCATGTTAAAATACTTTATGCCAGTTTTATCTCAGTTAACGTTTTTGTAAAATAAACATGCAACAGGTATTTGAATTTCAGCTGGGTTATACACAAAAGAATGGTGCGGTTTAAAAAGTTAATAAAAAATTTATTTCTCACCTTACACGGGCACAACATACACCGTCAGCGGTCCTTCAATGTGTGCACCCTGGGTCACACGACACACATCCACACGGTAATCAAACTCATCCCAGACCTGGTGTAGCATGTCCGCTGTAATGGCCTGCAGTGCATGCGTTATCTGATCACGAAGTTCATGGATGGACGTGGGCAATGGTGGTATATAAACGCTGTCTTTAACGAACCCCAAAAGAAAGAAATTGCACGGTGTAAGATCTTGCGAACAGGATGGCCGAGGGAGAAGGTTGTTGTCTCCATTAGCAGCAGCATGTCCGATCCAGTGCTGTGGAAAAACATGATTGAGAAGCACTCATACATCATAAGAAAATCATTAGCATAATGGCAGCCTCATATAAGGAATTATTTAAGATATTTAATATTATTCTACTAGAAAGTGAATTATTACTCTCATTATCATCATTTATAGCGAACAACATAGAAAATTTTCAAACAAACTAACATAACCACAATATAAGTACAAGATACAGACATAACCTTCAAACACTGACCTCAGTAAATAATGAAAAGGATTTTACTATACTGGAATTACACTATTCTCTCTCTAAAAATCGGAGAAATATCTCCCCGCAACAGTACAAAAAGTTTGAATCATGATATAAAGTTTAGCACTAAAACAAAAATTCTCAGCTAGTATTTACACATGTAAGCAATTGAGGTTATGGTTTCTTCAGTAATTATTTTTTCAGTAATACTGTAGTTGACTGTAAATTAATATCATTACTATGCAATTTATATTTGCATTATAAACACGTGTATTTGTGCTATGGCATGTTTTACATCATTGGCTTGGGCCTATGAAAGATCTATAGAATGTAAATAAATTCTATTCTGTACAGTTAACTACCATAATAATTTTAATATGTCAAACTATTGCAAATACACCAGAGTAGTGAGAATGTAAACTTCTTTTTGCTCTAAACCATATTAAATAATAGAATGTGACAAAAACTTTCTACCATATATGCGAACTCCCATACTATCCATCAACTGGTCTACCAGACACTTGGAATGAGTGGAAGATACTTATCGAGGGTAACAATAAAATAAAGATTCAATATGAAACGGAATATTAAACTGGGGTAACAGACCCTGCATCACAATATTTAAATAAAATAACCAAACAGCAAAGATGACAAACACAGGTACAAAATTAAACTACCGGATTGCGTCTGAACACGAGGAAACAGAACAGTACACTCCGCAAACCTGGTACAACGGACCAATAGCCAAGTATCGTACGCCGGGGCGAGTTACTTACCAAGATAGCACATATTTTTAAACCACTAAAACATACACATAATTTACATTTGTAAAAATATCCGACTACACCGGAAGCAAACTCCTAGCGGGAAGTAACTGCACCACGTAAGAAACAACCGGTGCGGTAAAGAAAGTGAAGTGAAGGGGAGGGGAAATGTCCAATATGGCGTTACATATGGCTGCACAGTAGGCCTACTACTGTCGTCAATTTTCACTATCCAAAGGACTTAATCTGATCATTTGTCTATCGCTGGTTGACTCGGTGTCACTGGAGCTATTATCAGAGAATGTCTTAAGGCCGCCATTCACGATCGCTCCAGATGGATGACATCCGAATGGATGACGTCCAAACGGATGTCGTCCAAAGAGGTACTACATTCACGGTCGCGTCACGCCAGTCGCGGTTTGTTGTCCCTCT